ATTTCAATATAACGCATTGTCTATCATTCCCCGACCGTGAGATGTTTGGAGCATTTAATTTCAATATAACGCGTTGTGTATCATTCCTCGAAAGATGTTTGGAGCATTTAATTTCAAAATAACGCTCTGTGTATCATTCCCCGACAAATGTTTGGATATTTATACTATTTATGTCTTTTATTTTCTCTGCATTGTTGATTTTATTTTCGTTGTTTTTGTGTTTGGCCACCATGTTTTTTTTTATTATCCCCCTTGCTATCTTCTCCTTCATTGAGGTACTCCGGATTGCAGATATATATTCGGCTTTACATATACTGGTCCGTGTTGTAATAAGTGATCCTAGAAATCTTTCAAGACGGTTGAAATAGATATAAGAAGATGTGGTATGAGTGCCAAATGAGACAATCCTCCATCCAAGTCAAAATTCATAAAAGTAAACCATTATAGGTCAAAGTACGGTCTTCAATACGGAGCCTTGGCTCACACCGAACAGCAAGCTATAAAGGGCCCCAAAAATTACTAGTGTAAAACCATTCAAACTGTAAAACCAACGGTCTAATCTATATAAAAAACGAGAAACGAGAAACACTTATGAACCTCATCAACAAACGACAACTACTGAACATCAGATTCCTAACTTAGGACAGGTGCAAACAATTGCAGCGGGTTTAAACGTTTTAATGGTACCAAACCTTCACCCTTATCTGAAACAATAGTGTAACATCACAACATAGAAAAACACACTATAAAATATCAATTGAAATGGCTTAACTCATTCAAAAGACATATTAACACCGGTGAACATACACTGAACAAATAAATTTGATCTATGATACAATGCAAATACAAAATAAATAAACTAAGGGAAGAATAATTAAAGTAACATGTTTTACCTCTGTGAAATGTTAAACAATTTAAGAAAAAACAATATACTTGAACAAAAATATCAGCCATTTGCAATTTCTTTAAACACAGGTGAATAAAAATAATTTTGTTGTTAGGTTTTCGTGTACAGTTCAGATAGAGAAAGGAAATATTTTTACAAAATAAATAATTTTGATGTTTATAGTACGAAGAAGAGAAAATGCCTTTTACCGTCAGGCACCAAATGTTAATTTTCGACTATCGTTAGCGACAACTTGATTCAGTTTATATTGTGGTCTGTCAAATTATCCTTATTTATCAGAGGTCTCAATTATATAAACTTTTCAGTTATAATTAGAAAACATATACCATGATTCGTCAAAATCAGTTGTTTTTTTTTTTTATCGTCATGGAGAAATGAACTCTATGTTTCTTTGTGGAGCTTTTGGTGACTTTTGTTTGTATTTTCGTCGTTTTTCTTTTGACAATGTTGGAGTCTTTTTCCTTCTACTTATGGTTTCTAAATGCCCCTTTGCATCGTTTCCTTGTTTAAAAAAATAAGAGTAACTTAAGTTGCATTAAACATATACATGCATTACATTCTAATTTAAATCAAGAATTTCAAAGTAAAGACCCTCAAGAAATTCGTTCAAGTCAAACATTTTTTTAAACGATGATTTATTTTTATTTCTTTAAAAATTAAGTATTTGTATGTTATCAGATAAAAACTATATTGCATCATTCTTGACTTAAATGCTCTTTGCTTGTAAAGATATTTGAAAGCACACGAATATTAATTGGATTCGAATCTTAATCAAACACATGACACATCATTTATAACGAGATATTTTAATATTTCATTAGGAATAAATTATATTGATTGATTGTTGGTTGCTTAACGTCCAGTGGCAAGGAATAAATCATAAGCTGATACATGTATTTTTTTTAAAATCGCCAACGCGATATTTACTACATGTATCATTAACGTCAAAAACAGTAGAAAAATACCGTTTCCATTATTTGGCAAGATCTAAACGTTATGGTTAAAAAACATCACACACTATTTAAGTCGGTTAGGGAGCATTTGATTTGCGGATACAAAATTTGAAACGTATATAAGTTGTACGACTCCCAATCGTAACCGTCTGATATGACTTCTGAAATAGTTGACCTTAGTGTTTCGACTACCAAAGATGAAAAACATACATGTATACCTATTTCAAGAAACATATAACCGTCTTATCTATTGGCCTTCTTTGGATGATTGGTAGAACCTGCAAGGTGGGTGGCCAAAACTTCCGTTTGCAGTAGGGCTATCGACGGAAAGTTTGTAGTCGATAACGGAACTACAAGAATAGTATTTCCCAGGACACAAACATTGTCACTGCATTCACACTCAAGTTGTGATATTGAACTAAGACAGGAAATGTTATGTTGAGTGCGGATTTTTTTTGGCATCAGCAATATACCCCGGTATTTTGATAAGAAATATAGGACAAGAATTACCTTTCCCGAAAGAGTTGTTTTTGCTAGGCGACAATATATATCCAAATAGATATCCAGTATTGACACCTTACATAATACAAAACCCAGAATATGCAGAGGAAGTGTAGAAAATTAAATAGACATATTACGCACTATAGAGTAGAGGTTGAACACGCATTCGGAGAATTAAAATAAAACACAAAGTTATGGGGACTTTTTGACGATTCACATCTGTTGTGACCTTAAGTTTCTACATTTGTGTGTCGGCGAAAAGACTTATTTACATGATAAAAAAAATTTCATTTCATTTTATTATGTATCTCAACTGGGTTTATTATCTTATTTTGAGAGGACCCCATGTTTTTCGTCAACTGTAATCGTAAGTCTAAGTGTAATCCTAGGTATAGACCTAGTTCCGGCAAATGTCAAATACTAGTACTGTGTAGGCCTCAAAGCAGGTGACCTCTGGTTAGTAAGTCCTACATTGGTATAAAATGGGGGATGGCCATTTTTATTTTCCTCCTGATAAATTTTAGTATTAATTTGTCACTGGAAGTTATTCACCGATCCATCTATATATCATTCATATAATCGACACTGGAGCATAAGTAATTTGGAAGGGCAACAATACAGTTTAAAATTAAGATCCTCTTATGATGGAAAATTGGTTTGGTTTAATGTGCACAGTATGAAAGATAATAAAGTAATTACACCATATTTTTGTAATCACATTATCAAGGGGTCCCTTATTGGTTCAATGAATAAACTCATCATAGATACCAGGATAATCAATGTCAGCCAGACGCGCGTTCATAATAGATACCAGGATAATCAATGTCAGCCAGACGCACGTATCGTCTACAAAAGACTCATCATTGACGCTCAAATAAAAAAGCAAAAAAGGATCAAATAATGTAAAACGTTGAAGGCATTAAGGACCCAAGGTTCGGAAAGGTTTTTGCAAATACATCTAAGGGAAACTATTCCTGGGATATAAAAACCCTTAGAATTTCGAAAAATTCAAAGTTTTATGAACACAGTTAATTCATAAGTATGACCACACAAATATTGTTTTGCTTTGTACTGGCTAAGTTTTTAATCATTTTAGCATGAAAGCAAACCTGGAAATAAAAATACAATTCTGAACAATGTCGGTAATTTGGAAAAATAATATTCAAATTCTACCTTAGGCAATATGGGGAATGACTATCCTCTTTTATATATAGCATATATCCTTATAGCAATTTTAATATTACATATATGTTTTTTTCATTATTGAAGAACTGTGAAGAATTACTATGTCAATACTGAGTTTAACAGCACTGATTGGTTTGTTTGTTGGTATTACTTATGGATTTAGGGACAGAATGATTTATGACACCTCTGCACAGGTATGTTTTCAATGGCATCGTATTGCATATCATGGAATGTTATCTGCCAAAATTCCAAATATCTACATATTTTTAAATAAATCTATTTTCAACCGATGATGAAATTGTAAAAAATAACGATAGGTGATTGCGTCTCTTGTGGTGCATTATCTGTTTTTGATAAGATTTCTACGGGAAAGTTATTACTGATTATATCGTATGAACGTTAAATTCTACGTTAAAAATATGTTTATGGTTAACTTGCCTTGTTCGTCAGTCTTTCATTTTGACATTTTAATTACATTTTTACTCTTTTCATTTTGTCGATATATTCCTATGTTAATTTTATTAAAAGAATGGGAATTAAATCATAAAAAGCAAGGCCAAAACAGGTTCTTTATAAGCTTCGATTGTGCTCAATCTCTATTTTATGACAGTTTGTGTTAAAGCTATATTTAGCAGTAGTAGGTTTCATGATTCAGTTTAGCACCTACAGTGTCAAAGATTGTTTATGCAGCCATCGTGTTTAAGGTCTAACTTAGCATCTACCGTGTTAAACCTATGTTTAAGTCATTAGACAATATTGTCAAAATGCATTTCTGCTGCAGCAAAAATCGGTACCATTACAGTTATTTATATCAAATGATCAATACCTCTGCTAGCTGATTGTTTTTCTCCGAAAAGGTACCACCATCCCAGTAGTTCAGAATTATTTTACTGACATGAAAATGCGGGTATATTTTTTTTGAAATTTCCTGTTATCATGGTTATAGATATCCAAAAATCTATTACTCCAATAAATATGTCCTATTCGTGCATACCTTTTATTTTTTATCCGATCTTGCCTTTATATTTTGGTATTGATTTGTTAAATCAGCTTTCCAAATTCAAATCAATTTTAGATTTTCATATGTGTATTTACCTAGCAAGAGCGACACGTAAAATGTTTATCTGGTGCTGTCAAATTTGAACCGTTAATGTTATTATCACCAAACGTGTCTAAGATTTAGTTAAGCACACGTCCTGTAAAAGCTCGATTTTAACATTCATTGTGTTAAAAGATTCATTTTGAAATCTGTAACTCACTATATTGCTCAAGCAACTTATTTTCCAGACATTCCCGAGAGAAAACAAATTATTCGAATATCAAAAATATGAGCTTTTTCTAATAAGAAATTCATCCAAAAAGTAAGTAAATCGCAGAAATAAATTAAAAAATATTGATTTAATTTTGAAATTTGCAATTTATACTTTTACTGTTAAAACGAATTTTCTTTTAAGGCCAAGTGTACAGAGATCACAAGAGATCCCACGAGGGACTGCAGATGGTCTGCAGGGATGAATATGCAGGTGGATCAGGTCGCAGTTGGGAGAAGATTGCTGCATACAAAATTCGATGGTTTAGTGGTTCCTGGAGTGGCTGGTACGTGCCCGGGTACAACGACATAGACTGGAAAATCAACACTAACAACAAAAGATGTTCAATGCCGTGCAAAGCCAACAGTCTTAGACGGGTGTGGTCATATTTCGAGGACCACACACACAAATTTATAGTGTACAAGGCTTAGAAATTCTGGACAAAAGATCCATTTAAACATAAATCAAAGATCTAATATTTAGTTTTTGCTATTCATTTACATAATCGGTCGTGCTTCTTGTCATATCTATATTCTGTCTGTAGACAGCTCATCCTTTCCCACACAAATCTAAGCTCAACTAATGTAACAATGCGTTTAAGAAATAAATAAAAAACGTTTACAATTGTCCTAGTGTATCGTTCCTGTAACTCACTTGATAGCAGAAAAAATAATTCTGTAATAGGACAAGACAGAGTACCTCTTAAACTCTGTGTGCAAATAATCAACGGTGGTTTGGTGAAAAATGACAATCTCTACCTGGGGTGTAAGGTCAATATGAAGGTTTGGCCTATAAATACTGAAATGTTAATGAAGAATTCCAAAGTGTCATTTATGACATCACTGACTGTGACTTTGAATCACGTAGTTCCCTAATTTGATATTAAGATATAGAGATTTAACGATGAGACAACTACTACCAGTAGTACTAGTTCTGTAACCAGAGTTCATTTTTTTAAATTTTAATGTACGGAAGAACACACACCTATATTGCATATCGATGGAAAGAGGAAAATGTGTACAATAAGAAATGTTTGGTCGTAAAAACCCCGAGTGGTCACATTTTTGCGAAATTGAGTTCAAAGGTCAAACCTCAAATATATCACAAATTCAAACATGAAGAAAAAAGAAAGTATTTTCTGAGATATATTCAGTAGAATGTTACAAAAACGATGTTCTAACAATCATATACTACAAAGGACGACAAACGATAAGTTTAGCTATTTGAATGAACAGCTTCCATTACAAAATGGCGTCAATGATGAATCTTCTGTTTGTTTTCCATTTATGACAAAGAAAATGTTGATGTGGCCTTGACCTTTTCACATCCATTAACTTTTACATTGCTGTTCATTTTTCACCGCAGCATATAACAGAATTATTTTCTAAATTGTGAAACAGCAGTTTCTCGATATGTTTCAGTTATTGTTCTTCATTTAAAAAAAAACAAAATTTAAACACTGAAACCGTGTTTTTCTTTTTTGCATACACAGGATGTGTATTTTGGGATACCATGTACTTAAAAGTCGAAAGATCAGATATAAATATTGTCAACCGAGGCGAAAGCGAGGTTTAAAAAAGTCATAAGTGTAACTTGCTATGTTGGTTCAGTGTGAAAAGAAAATTAGTTTTATGCCATGAACATTCTCTTTGTGGGATTATCCTGGTACAAATGTGTAATCTCATTATTTTTTTTAATCAAAGTGATTGATTATAATGTCAATTTGCTAATGTTGTAATTTGATAATTGGCCAAGACCCTTATATAGCTAGTCTTTGAAGGGCTACAATCATTATCTCCGGTCTTCATCTAATAGGGGTAAACAGTAAAAAATGCTTCACACTGGGAAATTATATACAATAATCTTAGTTACACGTCAATCTCTTCGTCATTGTTTGCGAATCCGGTAAGCGAATGAGCACGCTTCACCGCCTTAGCACGGACAAAGTTCTGTTCACAGTATATCTTGCAAGTAATCTGAAGACATTGCAGGGAGGAATCTACGACCATATTTATTTATTGCTGCTTATTGTCCCTGTTTGAATAAATTCATCATAGATTTAAATTTTGTACGTCAGACGCGCGTTTTGTTAACAAAAGACTCATCAATGATGCTCGAATAAAATAAGGTTAAAAAGGCATAATAAAGAACAAAGTTGAATAGCATTCTGATAAGTTTTCCCAAATATAGCTAAGGTAATCTATGAGTTTTCCCAAATAGTAATCTATGAAACCACAGTTCCTGGCTGTTTTTCATTGACGGGAATTCGAAAAAACGCACACAAAGAATGGAACATCTGTAACTTCAGACTTTTTTCCTATTCGACCCTTCTTATTTTTCCTTCCAATCTCTCTGTCACCAAACATAACATGCATGATCATTTAGAATTTGCCTCTTCGTGTGTCCTGACTTAATCCTAAAAGTCAGTTACCTATGCTGAGGACAACTTGTTCACAACAATCGGGTCAACAAAATTACCCTCTAGAAAGAGTTTATGCTCATGCGAAGTCAACCCAGGGATCTGGGCATGCTGACACTATAAAAGTGATTTCCAGTATGGTATGGATCGACCATGTATTACCTGAATTACTTTGGCTAAAACTTACACTAGTTCGTTGGTCTCTTTTGACCGATTTTCTAGTAATAGAAAGTTTGATGTCGTATCTATCAAAGACAACAACACATGTAACAGCATTGGTAATGCATGATATCTGATTTTGAATGAAATGTAGAGCTAGGTACCCGAACTTAAAATCTAATAAAATAATTGATATCTCAACTTTTAACAATTGTACTAAGGCCATTTCGTTTGTTATAAGTACGGTAGTGGATCGACCGTAGGGTGCCTACTGAAGTGAGATACAGCTGGTACAGTTCTCCCGGAAAAGAGAGGTAGGAATAGATCTGATTGAGAGTGATAGAACATTTACTATTGTAATGTCTTCACGACACCCATCAGTAATTAGAGCACGACGTATTACTTGTTCTGGATTAATATGTACATTTAGTATCTCTCCTAACCTGCACTTGAATTTATACTTTTTCGTTAAGTTTTCGAAGGTTTTTATTTTTGATCTAGGTATTTGGCCATAGAAGTCACAGTTATCACCTTCTCCCATCGCACCATTGATAAACGATTTGACAATTTGTATATCATCATTAATTGATTTTGTCATTGAGGATCGTATTTCCTTAGACGCGCGTGCATTCCAGTTGAGATGTCGATCAGTGACTTGAGATGAGACTTTATATCAAAAGGATTTGTCAGTCGCTGGTGAACATGGTCTATAATACGTTTGACATACTCTTCATCTGGTCGTAATGCAGTCGGTCTAGTTTCATCATGAGAGGATTTTTCTGGGGCAGTAAATTGAGTTTACATCTCATTTCTGCATTAAACTATTCGAGCATCAATAATATTTTTCCCGAACGCTCGCATTCATATTATTTGCTCTTGTGACGAACTTTGACACACAATTCATTTTTCCAACTCAACCTCATTAGTTCTCCTTTTGGAAAAGTGGGAGTAAACTTTACAGGACAATCAAAACTGGCCATTATCCGGAAAAAATCTTTTCCAAAGGATTCGGTTTACTATCATAGAGTCAACATCTAAGCAACAAAAATATAACTTATTTACAGAAAAAGAGCAACAATGTGTGATCAAAGCACACTTAAAAAACTCACAAATATCTAATGATTCACAGAATCACATCAAAACTATCAAATTTATTGTTGAAAAAAACGTCATAATATTTGAACTTGATAAATGTTACACTATAAATAATGGATGTGAACATGGTGAATGACGGATATGAAATTTCCGTAGTTAAAAAAAGGTAAAAGTGATGTTTTTATTTTTTTATTTTTAGCAAAACTATTTGCAATTTGTCCATCAAAATTTGCATGCAGTATCTCAATAATATATTCCTTCCACTCAAACGTAGAATATGTTTTTGAATCATATGTTTTCTCGTTTTCAAAGATAAATGCGTTTCAGAGCCTAAAATTGAATAAAACATTCATTTTTGTCGAGCCTTCGACTTTAGTCGAAAAAGCGAGACATAGCGATCCTACATTCCGTCGGCGTCGTCGTCGTCGTCGTCGTTGTCGTCGGCGGCGTCCACAAATATTCACTCTGTGGTTAAAGTTTTTGAAATTTTAATAACTTTCTTAAGCTATCCTGGATTTCTACCAAACTTGGACAGAAGCTTGTTTATGATCATAAGATAGTATCCAGAAGTAAATTTTGTAAAAATAAAATTCCATTTTTTCCGTATTTTACTTATAAATGGACTTAGTTTTTCTGCCGGTAAATATTACATTCACTCTGTGGTTAAAGTTTTTAAAATTTTAATAACTTTCTTAAACTATCCTGGGTTTGTACCAAACTTGGACAGAAGCTTGTTTATGATCATAAGATAGTATCACTACAAAAGTCAAAAAGTCTGAAAAGACCAGTTTTTGTCTGAATTTGCATGAATTTTTACTCGACATTCTTAATTTGTCTGAATAATTTTTTAAAATTCGTGACATAGTATGAATTTGTCTAATAAGGTTCTTGATTTTTCTTGACAAGTGTCTTGACAGTATGAACATTGTCTTAAAATTTCTCGACACTTCCTGTATCATCTGATAAGAGTCTGGATTAGTCTCGACCAATTCTTGACTGTCTTAAATTTGTCTCGATCTGTCTTGACATATTCTTGACATTCTTAATAATGTCTGAATATGTCTCGACATATTCTTGACATTCTAAATAATGTCTGAATATGTCTCGACACATTCTTGACAGTCTTAAATATGTCTTGACACTATCTCAACAGTATAAGTTTCGCCTGAAATGTGAACAGACTTATTCTGCACTGTTTATGACATTCTATTGCTGTTATATACTCCTTTTTATTATGGCTAAACTAAACTTTGAAGAATCAAGGATTAATTTGGTATAGTAAGATACCCTTTTGGTGCAACTAAGTTGGAATACCCTGAATAATCCCCCATGTAGTTTAATTTTGATTTATTTTTTATTAAACATTTAAGTAATTGTTTTAACTTGGAATATAAGTCGAAGGTATTGACAAACAGCATTTAGATTTTTGCCGTTCGCAAAACTGCCAGTCAAATTTGCTTTACTAAAATAGGTGTCTTGTATCTCTTTTGGACCCCACAATTCATCTTTTGGGTTTGTGTGGCTAAAAAAAGAGGGGGGGGGGGCTTTCGTTTAGGTCAAAGAATTTGTTCCCATCTTGATTCAAAAACCTTATTCATTTTTTAGAACAACCCAAAAACATTTTTTATTCAAATTTGAGTGTTGAATTTTATAATTTTTTATCAAAAATAAATATTTGTGATAACTCCTTCCTGAAAAAAAAAATGTTGAGATCTATATTATGCATGTCTGTTTGAGAACCATTTCATAAGACCGATGATTTCTATAGAAATCATTGATGGGACCCATTATAAATACATTTTTTTTATT